ATAGGTTCCCAATCCGATGCTGCCTAAGTGTTGATGGAGAGAATCAGTTGTGGAGCGATACGCCATGTGGGAAATTCTGAATAGAAAATGCTCAAGCGATGATGACACCGGGCCAACGCTTGACTAGTCTAAGATACACGCATTATTTTTCGAAGGGGGTTCGGTAAAAAGATAATCATAATTACTGTTCCACTTGAAATTACAGATTTGTTACACTGTCTGTTTATGTATTCACATTCACAGTACTAATGAGTAGTATGATTTTATGCAGAGAGATATCGCTCGCCGGTGGGGGGGGGGCGTTTTGTCTTAATTTGCCGTAATCCCTTTTCGCATTGAACTTTATTGCCTTGAATACAAGGGAACTAACAAATAATTGCCTGCGCTGGCATGCCTAGCCAATATTGAGCGTGTCTGCGTTTTACCACCTAGTTGAACACTAGTCCGACTGCCAACACAGATCGGTCCTGTTCTGACTGATCCGGTTCCTAGTCTTATTCTCTTCTACACACACGGACACAGCCCAATGCAACACAACCCACAGCACAACCTTAAATGCCTGAGGAATCCCGTTGTGAGTGTATGTTTTTCCTCGCATAGTTTCTCGTCACTTACTCAACAGCCTCAGAAGTCTCATTGTCCTCTCCCTCGCCATTTCTATTCATACTGCTAGCTAGCTGCGATTCTGAATGCAGAGGGATATGTTGGAGGTGGAATGGGAATACCTAATCGATCGTAGATGCTTGTAAGTTCGTCTCACTCGACTTCAAACTGTGCAAGTGCTCATCGATCAGAACACGGTGGAAATGCTGAATCATCTTGGTGAATCTCAGTACTCCTTAACCAAATCACCAGATTTTCCCAGAAAATCTGTCTGCAATGGTATATTATATTCCATCGAATGAATAATATAGGAAAGCCTGTGAATGTGCGAGCATGTCAGGAAAGATGCCCCTGAAAACCAACGGAAAGTTCAATACAGTAAACGAGTTCACCTTGCCTTAGTTTACTATGAAGGAAAAGCATGGTGAGTGGTGGAGAGCATTGTTCGGAAGAAAGCAATCCAAGTAGCACAAAGAATGCCTCATCGTGACTCCGAGCCTTTCACTTGTGTAGCGGGGCCTTCGAATTCGGCCGCGCGGTCCGTTTCATCGTCGGACTTGAAACTACATAATCACTCTTCATCGTTTTGTTTTTATCGTGGATACACGTCGTTTGTGCCCATAACAACATTGTTCGATCATGGTCATCCTAAATTCAGTGAAACAATTTGTTGCCTTCGTGAGGTAATTTAAAATTTACGGCCACTGGATTTTACCTTCTTTTCGCAAATCGGTTCGGAACAAAGAGAGAAGAATTTACAGAAATCTCAAAAAATTTCCCAGAAAACATCGGGCTGGATGGCAGGTCACACTAAGCCAACGCTCAGTGTTGATTGCATTTAGCCCTGCACCCAAAACATTGCGTGACCCATCACACTCGTCCCATTATGAACTAACATACTCGCATCCGTTTCTATTTATCCCCCACTACTGACAACTGTTCATTGTTCCATGATCGACGCACCACCGCACTCGTTCCATTCGACCTACCCCCTCCCCCCCCTCACACACATGACATGTCCGCATGTCTGACTGGTTTGATTCGATAACATGTCCACGTCTTGACAAGTTCTACACACAAACGCACACACACACACACACACGCACAAGTTGACCCCGAAATCCCACAAACCGTCTGACTCATGTTTTACGGACGCACGCACGTGAACGACAATCGCACTGTGGTTCTTGACCTTGAAATCGCGACATTCGATCGGCCTCGATTGGTCACTGGTCCCTCATATGTATGTGCACGAACCTTGCCCGACTCATTGTTGTTATTGCTTGACACGGGAAGTTTTGATCGTCTCGCTGATTCCCGTCGTATTGACTTGATTTCACGGTTTTCCGGTGCGCTGTTTCGACCGATTTGTCCCACAGTTTCAGGTTTGTTTACTGTACACTTTATCATTTATCTCCAAACTTGTGTTCCAGTACTGTACCTTGATAAACCTGTTTTGATACAAGGAATTAGGTCTTGTGGGTTTCATGCGTCACTCTACTGTGGAGTATTTGATACCGTGGAATTAATAGTACTCAAACTGGGATTTGAGATACCCAATCGTGAATCCTTTCATTCGGAAATGTCGATACTCTCCTGGATCTATATTTCTGGTGCATCGTCCTTGGTCTGATCATAATCGCTGGGTCTGGAATGCCGGAGACCAGACGAACCAAGAGGATGGAACGCAAAAGTTCGCAGGTGAACTCTATCCATTTACCTCATGACCCCATAGTTTGTCACCCCACCCCCACCCCCTCCTAAGTCTGGTATGGCTAGTTCGTATAGGTCTAGCAGGCATTGTAAGCGTTCTAGCACCAGTCAGAAATTGATGAAAGCGTTGGAGGCTGAGGAAATAGGAAATTAGGCTTGAACGCCACGAACTGTAGAGCCAAATGAAATCACAAGACGAGTTTTCCGACCTGGACAGCTCGGTGGACGATTTCTCTGTTCCCAGCCCAAATTCAAAGTGCATGGATTATCTTCGTAAGATTCCGGCACAAAGTAAAGGGCGAAACTATGAACCACGGGAATCAGAGCGCCCAGTTTCTGCTGCGGCTAGTCTACCGAAAATTGAGCTCGGTAAGTTCGATGGAACCCCCCTGAATTTCTGGAAGTTTATACGAGGCTTCGAAATGTTGGTGGAGCAACATCTACACCAGAATTATCAACGTCTCTTGTACCTGGTACATTACTGCTCGGGCCCGGCCAAGGAAGCTATTGAACACTGCATAATGCTCCCGGATAGTTTGGGTTATCGCAAGGCTCGAGATATTCTGAAGGAACAATTCGGGCGACCCCACCACATTGTAGAATGTTTTATGAAAGAATTGCTTCACGGGAGCCCCATATTACACAATGACCTGGAGGGACTCCGCTAGAAAAATGACCAACTGTGGATTGGTGCTATTCCAAATCGGTGTTCCCGCAGAGATCAATTGTACCACAAAAATCAAGCGCATAGTCCAACGGCTGCCCAAACATCTGCAAGAGAATTGTGCAGAAAAGGCTGACGGGATTTCGAATGACGAAATGAAGCTAACACTTATCGACTTACCGGCGTTTCTCAATAGGAGAATTTCCATTGCCTCCAATTTCCACGGGCAAATAGTACAAGGATCGAACCCTTTTCCCAGCAAATCCCTCGAGAACTATAGGGAGAATCAGCCCAAAATATTTGTTCATGCGATGTCATCTCAAAGAGAGATATAATGTCCAGTCTACCATGACCACGGGCACACTCTCGATCAGTGTAAGACATTCTTAAACATAGGAAGAGTTGATAGAATCCAGTTACTCCGAAGGGAAAATTGTTGCTCCAATTGTGTCGGTCGTGGGCACCGTGCAATGGATTGCGAACGCATTGCACAATGTATAACTTCCGGGTGCGGTCGAAAACATCACAGTCTTCTTCACATTGGCGAGCCAAAAATCCCATAAAGTCTCAAATCTTCTCCGTTCGAAACACCGACTCTGCTTGTTTCTTGAGATTTTTTCCAGCTCGCTTGTTAGGCCCACTTGGAAGTGTTGTCACTTACGCTTTTCTGGATAGCGGGTCTGATACAACCTTGATGTCTGCAAACGTGGCGCGGTCTCTGGGTTTGTTTGGTGCCCCCGTTCAAATGCATGACACACCTGTGGGCGGAACAAACGTTCAGAATTCGACTGAGATAACTGTTGACGTTGAATCCCTCGATGGCTCATATTGTGCGAAAATTGACGATGTTCACACTGTTGACGTGCTCCGTGAAAAGAGCATGCGTCCCGTCAGAGGCTCAACTGAAAGGATGGCCACACCTTGAAAATTTAAAATTTCGAAGTGTTACAACCGATTCGGTATCTCTTGATAGGAGCGAAAATACCAGAAGCCCATTGGGTCATCGAGCAACGGATTGGTCGATCGAAACAACCTTACGCGACGTTGACGGTATTCGAATGGGTCATTTTCGGGCCAAAGGAGAGACAGGTGTCTGTCAACCGCATAGAAACACAAAATTCGATAGACGGCGATGTCGTGAAACTGTTTAGCACTGAGTTTATCGATAAAGAGACATCATCCGACAGGTCACTGTCTCAAGAGGATCGAAAGGTTTAGGACTCCACGACACGCAGCGTCAAATTAGTGGATGGACACTATGAAGTTCCTATGCCCTGGAAGAAACCTTGGTCCGAATTGCCCGATAACTGACCAATGACCGAAAAACGACTTTTCTGTCTACGTAATCGATTGAAGAGAGATGCAGAACTATTGCAACAATATAGCAGCATAATAGCGGCACGAGAGCTCCGGATTTATTAGCCGATGCCAACGCGCGGACCAGACGGCACCACGGTACGTCCCTCACCACCCGCTAGTTAATCCTCACAAACCTGGGAAACTGAGAATCGTGTTTGATTGCGCAGTCAAATATAAAGATCAGTGTCTGAACGATTACCTGTATACTGGGCCAGATTTAGTGAACGAACTAACGGGAGTGCTATCAAGATTCAGACTTGGACAAATCGCATTGTCAACCGATATCGAGGGGATGTTCGTCTTCCCCCTGATGACAGGCCAGCTCTCAGTTTCTTGTGGTATCCGGACGGAGATCTCGACCAGAAGCCCGTGACCTACCAGATGAATGTACATCCGTTTGAAGCGAAATCATCACCATTTTGTGCCACGTTTGCCCTTTGACAGATAGCGATCAATAAACGTTCAAGTTCTGACGAATCTACCGTCTCGGCTATTGAGAAGAACTTCTACGTCGATGACTGTCTAGTATCAGTCGATAGTCTGGATGAAGCTCAAAGGCTCGTGGATCAGCTCAATCAACTGTTAAATCGAGGTGCCTTCCGACTTCATAAGTGGATTAGTTATGACCAAAATGCGTTATTGGGACTCCCAGATGCTGGAAGGACCTCGGAATTGGTGAATCTCAATGTTGTCGAGACCGGAATTCAAAGAACTTTAGGTCTTTTCTGGTCTGTGAAGTTAGACTACTTCCTTTTTAAGGTCAATTTGCCACTACGTCCACCAACGAAAAGAGGTGCCTCATCATGCTCAGCCTCTCTGTTTTCTAGCTCCAATATTGTTGGTACCGAAACAGTTGTTGCAAACCATCTGTCATCGAAGATTAGCTTGGGACGAACCCATCAGCGAAGTGTTTGAAGCTATCTAGAACGCCTGGCTACGGGAGATCAAACACATAGAGCAAATTAGAATACCACGTTGTTTCCAGGTGAAAGATTTTCAAAGGGAAAGTGTAACGTTGCATCCCTTCAGCGACGCGTCGGAAACTGGATACGGAGCGGTCATTTATCTGCGATACCAATCACCCGGAAATGAAAAGAGGTGCAGCTCCGTCATGGGAAAGCCACGCGTCGCGCCGCTAAAGGCAACCACAATATCACGGCTTGAATTACAAGCCGCTGTGTTAGCCGTCAGAATGATGAGACAGGTTACTAAGACATCAGACATATTTCATGCCACTTCCTACTTCTGGACAGATTCAACAATTGTTCTCCACTATATTTACAATACGAAGTTGAGCTTCAAGACTTACGTCGTCAATATGCTAGAATACATTCATCAAAGCACGTCTGCATCCCAATGGCGACACGTTCCAGCTTCAGACAATCCCGCAGACGTAGCGTCGAGAGGTATTAGTTCACAAACGGTCAATCTACTAGAGATGTCGATTAGTGGACCAAGGTTCTTGTTGTCTGACCCAAACGACCGGCCTACTTCGCCGAATGACGAATTTTTTCGAAAGATCAACGAATTAGAAGTCGGAGAGGATGCCGTGATTATGACAACTGGAATCCCGAAAAACGCGGATAAACTGCTTGCCCATTTATCTTCGTGACTGATGCTCCGGAAAGCAGTGGCATACTTCCTACATTTCCACTCATATCTGCTGAAGATTTTCTGGCGATACACCGACGGGAGGAGTAAAATTGCCAGAGATAAGGGAAGCGGCGAATCCCATTTTTCGGTGTGTCCAGAGAGTAACTCTGTATGAAATGCGCTTTCAAA